AATACTCTCTGACTCAGCCGAGCCGGATCTACCAGTATGAGGATTAATTAGTGATTCAGTTATGCACCCTGACTGGTTAAATCAGTTGACTGTTGTCTGCGTGACTTTTTTCAGAAGACGCGAAATTTTATCGTTCAAGGCTCTCCTACGAGTTACAGATTACGGACTATTAATTAATTTTCACAGATATCAGGGAGAACTGCATTATAGTCGCGACAAATCGTCAAGTGAAAATTCAACTGACGGAGGAGGGACTTCAAGCCCAGAAACAAAGAACTAACTTTATGGATGTGTAAAGTTGGCGATTTCTTGCAGTTAGGCTACTATGTCGTATCAACACTTAGTGTTTTGTCAAACAAACAATTAGATTCTGGGACGTCTATAGCCCCTTCCTAGCCTAAATAACAGGAAGAGCACTTTTGAAAACTATCCCGCCCTTACAGTCCGTCCTTTGCTTTCTTGCCCAAACACAATGACTACTCATGTGATCTGCTGGTTATGAGAAATTGTGTTGAACAGAAATGCACCTGATAAGTTCTGACCTACTGTCGGCAAGAGAAAAAATAAAAATAAGGAGGAGAAAGGGCAGTTCTTGACTGTCAGTTTGGTTAGTTCATGCAATCACATCAGACGGCTAGCAGGAGGAGCAGGAGTAGGAGGGTGAGAGAGAGAGCACCCCTTATTGACGATCTTCTAGCTCATGGTGCTTGAAAGAGACCTCTGCAGAGTCTCAAGGGTTCAGCTGGAGGTGTTTCAGGTCATCAGAGAGGGTTGACTGCAGTTTCATGTCTGAAGTCTCTGTTTTCGCAGGGCGTTTCCACTTGCTGAAGACGTTCCTGGCATCCTTACAGTCTACGCCTTCAGGCGTGTGATTTCTAGAGTCGTCGACATACGACGCCTCCACTGAATAAACTGGAGGTAGGCTATTTGTCTTCTCCTCCACTAAGATTTGTCAAAGTGAATACATAACAGAACAATGCGAAAAAGGCAGATGGTTAAAAACAACGTACAGAGGAAGAAACTGACCGAAACAAGGCTTGCGACAATGTTTTGATTAATGTTCGTTATGGGTTAGACGGGTCCTAACAGCAGTTACGTTCCTTCCGGGCGTGTACGGTATTTAGAGCTGGTCGGTGTATATTGAAAGTAGGACTGTGTTTAACGCAAAGGAGTGAACTAGCGGCTGCTTTACCATCAATCAAACCAAAAATGGCGGGAGGTCAAGTGTGCTGAGAAGTACAAGGAATTCTTGGACAGTCTTCATGTTGGTACTGGCCTAAAATGGTGCAGTCTCTCTTAAGCATACAGGGACCATAAGACCGCTGAAAAAACGCTAATCACAAGTGACCCAGTTTTGTTACTGTTTAGACAGTGTCCTTAATGGTCGTGTCCTTACGCGCCATTCAACTGTTCTTTCTTAGTATTATTTAGCTTATTATCTCTGACTGAGTAAAGTCAAACAACCTCACCTGCTAAAGACGTGCAGAGTTCGACTGACAGGGCAGTGAAAGAGACTTTGTGCGAATATTCGTATCTTGTACTCATCTAGCATGCTGTTACTTTAGAAAAGGCGACGCCGTCCTTGAGGAACGACCACGGCGTTGATTTGGCCAGCGCCAGCACTTTATTCTCCGCTAATAACAGGGGCTACCTGAAGTCCGCATTCTGAGGAAGGAATACGCAATTGGCGTTTGTCATGGTAGTCCGCAAAATAATGAGATTAAATGTTCAGCTTGCAAATCCTGATTTCCAGACTTGTGCCGACTCTCCATACCATCATTGGGACGGCTGGCTGACCGATGTCGTCTTGGATATCACACTGAAACTGACGCAAACGCTCCAATTTTCGGCAGGTGATGACGGCATTTACTCTGTATCACAGGGCTAATTTTGCTGCAAAATGAGATTTGGGCACGCAATTAAGTGTTACTTCGTTTATCATGCCACGTGGGCATCTGGCAAAGTACCAGTGTTAGCATTAATTACAATTTTGTTTTTCCCCAGTACCTGAGGGCACATTTAATATGACCATCTTCTCTAAAACGAGACCCATTTCCGGTTTCTGTCTCCGCATAGCGCTGGTGAATGGTCTTCTGACCCAGCCCTGAATCCTTTGAAATTCTTCGCGCTGGTGCATCTTCTCTGACCTCCCCCATGTCGAAATTAGTTTTTGTTAAATATTTGCTTATTACGTTCGACGTCTACGTTCCTATAATTTCCCTCATCCATCACCTTGACGTTTTATAAATGCATGCATTCCTTCGTCGACTTTCCACGTTTAGAGAGACAGAAACACAGAAACAGCGGTCAAAGATTTTCCCATATTTATCTCAGAGACGTAGGTGAGCAGTTTATACTCTCGCAATCTATCTATCTGTATCCTGGAAACGGTGAGCAGGGAACAGTTTTGCGGTAAATGTTGGAAATTATAAATTGAAGGGTTAACTTACCACCCTATAAGAGATTTATAGTGTAAATTCACAGGGAGGTAACGGGGGGATTGATTTGCTGGTAGCGTCCCTGAGGGCGGCATTGCGGCTTATATTTCGTGCAATGAGAGCCTCTAAAATGGGGAGGTGTCATTCTTTCTCACATGCTCTTGTTAAATCGGTGTCCGAAGATGCTATTTTGGGAGTCTTTTAACAGTTTTATGGCTTTTCATTCCATTTAACAGATAATGTTTTGTGAGCACATCGGCTAGCAAGTGTATGCGAACATCCATGGATTTCATCTGCTCGTGCGACGCTCAAATGGAAGGGAAAAGGGTCTGTCGTTATAACGCGAATCATTTTAAGATATCTTTAATTTAGAAGGGCTTCCGCATTTGATCGTCTCTCCCTGTACCAGAATGGTGTAGTACCGTGTCTATGTCCTTCGTGCGACCCAGTTTGTTTCCCCCACCATCACCGTACCAATAACTATTTGCGGTCTCAGCGCTCCCGCCTGGCAGCTGCAAGCTCGCACTGCCGTGGTAAGGATCGAGAATGGACGTAACCCCACTCCCACACCCGTCCTCTCAATTTCCCCGCCCTCTCGCATGACTGACTGCTGTCCAGCGCGCGCGACAGGTTTTCACTGAAATCTGAACTCTCTTACTTTGATGACTTCCCTCCCCCTCGCCAGGTGCGCCCGCATATCAGACCAACAGTCCATGTTTTACTTGCCCATCACGTTCAATCCCTCTGCGCCGTTTATCTTATGAAAAAGAGAAGGCTCTTCGGAAATTCGAGTTGTACTCGTAAATGTTCAAGTCGGTGGCATCGACTCGTCGTCAGACGAAATGAACAGAGGGGAAAGTGAAATGGGCAGACTAGGTCGGCTGGCGCGGCAGGACAGACAACAACAGACGTCTGATGCGCGTTATGGTAGGCTGTGGGGCCGGGGGAGGGAAGGAAGAACCGTTAGGGTACCCTGTTTTGGAGGTGGAGAAACCGTTGGGGGATTGCGGATCAGCGGGAATGCGGACGGCTGGTCACCGATAAGGGATGAGGTCAGGGGCAATGCGCCGGCGTTGGAGGTGTTAGGGCGTTTCTGTTGTTGTTCGCCGTGTCGCAAGAGGGGCAGAATGACGAAACTTATGGCGGAATCTTATCTTATAACTACGTAATGACCATACACAGTTGAATAAGAGGTCACGAAATTTTTTGGCCTCACTAAATTCTGCATGCTTCGTCACCTTTGCCTTCTCCAGATGTATGCCGCGGAAACAGTGCTTCACTTTTCCGAGTGTTTGTACCGTGTGACAATCACTATAGTAAAGGTTAGAAAACAAAAACGTCAACAGACTTGCCCGTCAATCATCAGAGGCTCAGGCAGGGGGCTCGACCCTGCCCTTTCCTTTCAGGGTCACGCCACCACGATACTGCAGGTCGTAGTCTCCTAGCTCATCTAGGACCTTCTTCGTTGAGGGGCTTACGTGTATTTTGCGACCTGCGGCGGTTGAGACAAAGCCTGAAAGCCTGGGTTGCGTTTACTGTGAGCACAATCAGACCTGTTGTTCGTTCCTTAGGCACAAGTGAGTAAGACAGTCTAAAGAAAGGAGCTGCACTGCTCCTGCCAGCCGTCTGTGGAGCGGTTCACTCATTAGTCAATGCGTCTATCGACCTTCCCCTGGATTTGACCCACGGCGGACTAATCCTAGGGTGCGCTACCGACTGCCAGTGTGCCCTTGCACTGTAAGGGCGCTCAAGCCAACTTCGCCGTCCTGACCTCTTATTACATGATGATTTGCTGTAGTAAGTAGGGATCGACGACGGGATCTACAGATGCATCATCTAATCCTATTGTTCCTTCACGGTTAAGAGGAAATGGAGTGCTCCATGAATGCGGTGTTTGTGTAAGCGTTCCTTGCCAGTCAAACTGGTCTGACCTGCCATTTCTTAAACGGGTCGGATGTGTTTATGTAGCCCCACCTGAATAAACAAGCCCCAGTCATCACTAATACGGGACCGGTGGTAATAGGAGCTTTTACAGGTGGAGCTGGGGAACGCACAGGCGACGAGGTCAAGTAGTTGTACTGGGAGTGCGCGGTTGCGCTAACCCCTAACTATAAATCCCAATCCTAAACCCTAACCCGTATCCCTAACCTTTAATCCTAGCCCCCAACCCTAACCCTTAACCCCAACCCCAACAGTATTGTGTCCATCAGGTGGGGTTACCAAACCGCATCTTTCCCTTAAAACACACCAGCATGTGTGATCGAGTTTGGAGTGTGATTGTGCCGAGGCGCCAGACTATCTTGCCTTTCCCTACCTGTTCCTCATTCTTGAACTTACTGGTTGTTTGACTGAATGGAAGGAACACAACTCGACGTGACGCGCTTGGCATGAGCGGGATTGTCAGGTCGTTTGACTTTTGATTGTTAATTCTTTCATAACTCTGGTCTTATCCTGAATTTCATAGTCTGGGATTGACGGTCCTATCTTAAGCGCTCGCCACAGTTCTGACCCCGACGTGATCCTCCTCCAACTTCCAAGCGTCAGTTACAGCGATTCCTCGGCATGGTCAGTCTTTACCGCCGGTTCCTACCGAACTGTGCTGATCTCATGTTGCCGCTCACCAACATACTTTCTGGTCCCAAAGGTCCCCTCGAGCTGACTGGTGAAGCACTGACTGCTTTTGAGAGAATCAAGAATTCCCTAGATGATGCCACATTACTCACACATCCCGCTCCCGAAACCCAGCTGTCTCTGATGGTAGATGCTTCGACTGTAGCCGTAGGTGCAGTCCTTCAACAACACCTTGCTGGTTCGACTCAACCACTTGCCTTTTTCTCCAAAAAGCTCTTACCAGCTAAGACACGCTACAGTACCTTTGGCCGTGAATTACTTGTCATTTACCTGGCTGTGAAGCATTTCCGGCATTTCCTTGAAGGTCGTGACTTCACTGTTTTCACTGACCACAAACCGTTGACTGTTGCACTTCGTTCCCACACTGAGAAACTAAACCCCCGGGAAACCCGCCAACTGGACTACATCTCACAGTTTACCTCAAACATCCGCCACATCGACGGGTCACGCAATGAGGTGGCTGACGCATTGTCCAGGCCCTCTATTGCTCATCTTCAGCTTTCACCCGGGATAGACCTCGCTGAGATGGCCGCTGAACAACGACGTGTCGGTTCATCTTGTGATGAGGATGTTTCAGGACTACAACTTCAGGAACTACCACTGACAACTGGCAACGGCACCATTTTATGCGACGTATCCACCCCTTCCCACCGTCCATTTGTGCCACCATCCCTCCGCCGTAAAGTTTTCTCCTCCCTGCACAATCTCTCTCACCCTGGGAGTCGAGCAACCGACAAGCTGGTTTCCGACCACTTCGTCTGGCCTGGGATGCACAAAGACCTGAAAGCATGAACACGGTCTTGTATCCCCTGTCAACGGAGTAAGATCCAGCGGCACAACAAGGCCCCCATTGGCACCTTCCCCGGTCCTGGTTCAAGGTTCAGTCACGTTCACCTGGACATTGTAGGCCCCCTACCTCTGTCCAATGGTTGTTCCTATCTCCTCACCTGTGTGGATCGGTTCACTCGGTGGCCTGAAGCAATTACCCTGCCTGGCATTGCTGCTCCAACGGTGGTCAAGGCTTTTCTCAGTCGTGGGGTTGCTATCTTTGGTGCACTCTCCACAATCACGACTGACCGTGGTGCCCAGTTTGAGTCTAACCTCTTACAGTCTTTACTCTTGGAAAAGATGGAAGACGCCTGCATACAACTTTTCGGACTCCTGCACAGTAATAGTGCGATTTATTTTCCGTTGTACCCTTGTCTCGTGGCCTTAGGTGTGAGGGGTAAAATCAACAAGCCAGAATATTTTTATCAGCCCGGCTGTCTGGTCATCGCCTATGGAAGCGAAAAGGCGAATTCCACGAAACAGTTCAGAAGACGCGATTGCTGGGGCAGGAACTTCATTGGCCTGACGTTTCGGGTTCTCACTCGAAGTCATCATCAGAGACAGTCACGGAAAAAGGTAATAGAAGCACAAGGAGAGCGGTGTTTATAGGACGCTGTCACCCGGCAACCACATGCCCACAATAATCAGCAGCACTCGCGTTCATCGCTGGGGTGGGGTCGTATTTGGTGCGACTTCACCGTCGTTGATTCTTGGCGTGCCGATTACTCGGCTATTTGTCTCGCTATCACCGGATCTGTTGGTCGCCCGCGCCCTACCCCCGTGGCCAATTATTTTGCCCAGGCAAAATCGCAGCATAGAATAGGGGAGTAGAAGTTCATTGCGCATGTTAATTGAGTACGGGTCAGAGACGCGTGACTCAATCAGCTCATTGTTCACGCGGCTGTCACCTCTTGCGATAATTCCTGCCCCATCAAACTGGAAGGTGAAGCCGGCCCGCATTCGATTAACAACGACAACGGCGAGGACGACCGACAATTCGGGCGACAGTGAGTCAAATGGCCGCAAAATCTTCATCCGAAGAATCAACAGCAGCGACAAAATCACGGTACGGACCGACCAAATGATCATCGCATCAAATACATCTAGCGATGAACGCCAGTGCTGCTAATTATTGTACGCATGCGGTTGAACAGCCACTTCGCTATATAAATACTGTGGCAGCTCTGCTATATTTTTCGTTTACGCGCAATTTTTTACAGCTATCCCATTTATTGACCATTTCCTATACTCGCATTTATTCATGTTTGTTTAAGTTGGTGTTTATTAACTGTTACATAGCACGCTCAAAATGATGCGAGTTTCGGTATCATTAACTGAATTTTCATCCATTACCTTTGTCCTTCACTGGGCAGCGTTGACAGCTAAGTCTATTTGTAATGCAAGGCTGAATTATCGTTCGTCTTAACTCGCTAAAATACTGTGCTCCTCGTGTTTCTCCTACCCTTGTCCGCGACTGTCTCTGACGCTGGGTTCGTGTGAGAATCCGAAACTTCAGAGCACTAAAGTTCCTGTTCTAGCGACAGCACTTTCTTCTTCTGTCTGGTCATCCATTTCATTGGTCTTTGGGTAGGTTAAATTTCGCAACCTTAAATAATTTATCTAGCCACCAGCTGAATCATGGACTTGTTAGGTACAGGCTACCGTCCATGGTAATAAGTACTGCTTAAAATCCAGAAAACAATATACATCGACTCTTCTTAAGCACGAACGGAGACCCTTCAGTTGATCTCCAAGTGAAGAGGATTACTCAACTAAGGTCAAAGTAGTGACAACCAGAGGGATGCGCAATGCAGCTGACTAACACGCACCGAGTTGCTGGTTTTCTGTTGTATTTCAGCTGGCCGAAAATTCATACTTAACAGAATATAATTTCCCATTAAATTCAATCCCTCCCCCTATCCATTTACTTATTACCCTGTTGGGTAGCTTATTGGCAGCCCAATGTCGTATAGTTTGTACCAGCACTTCGGTTTTTGCAAAAAAGTTACAGATTAGGAGACAGTGCTGTTAGGAAATGTGAGAAGAACAGTACCCGCATATGCTGAATTTACGTTTGGCACAAATGCAACCAAATAAGTAGCAGGGCGGTCTTCAACAAAAGGGATGAATTCTGCGTAAATTCTCACTGATAGGCAGAAAGCAACAACAATCCAGAGACCTTCATACACATTGACTTTTGATATAAACACCCTTTGATTTTCCTGGGTTGTTTAACCTACGTCTCAGGACCGCTACCTTTTCCAGATGCGATAGTGCTACTCGTCTAGAACATTGTTGTTCATTTAACCGAACAGTTCAAGCAGGGTTTTCGAATTTTGTCCATGGCCAGTAGATTTCAAAACTTGGAGACGCAGCGAAAATAAGTTTTATTTATTAATACGCTTACGCAGAGACTGGTATCTATATCAAGATTTAGAAATTTAGAAAAGATGTCACTTTATGTAAAAGGGTTATGTGAACCAAATAGCGTTGGCCTCACCAGAAGAACTATTTAACCATTTGTGTCCGAAAGGAAACATTTATGCCACACACGCGGTAAGCTGTTTTAGATGAGAGTGCCAATAAATGCAGAATTCAAGATTCATAGTTTCGAAAATGGAAGTGAAATAACACAGAGTTATTTAAAGGAAAAATAACAATAAACATCGTGGATCTATACGTTTATCCGTGTTTATCAGTATGTACACTTTATGCTTCAATCAAAATCAAAAGAGGTGCTGGGACTTGGGACGCGTGCTCTAGATGTTGCCCGCGACACGGGCTGTCTGAGGACCGCTTAGCACGAATGCTGGAAATTACAAATTTCAGACTGAAAATCGATCCAAATCATATCAGCCGACAGATTAAGACTTTGGAATGTGAGAGGCCAGATTAATTTCAATCGCAATTCCAGTGATCAAGTCTCCTTATTCACAAGCCATTTGGTAGTTGACCATAGGGCCCCATCCAGCATGATGGTTATATTTGGTAGGTCCGAAATGCACTAGCAGATGTAGGGAAGGACGTGAAGATAAAAAGTTGATTTAAAAACCATTTCTTCCCTACCAGGAACCGTTTTTTTTTAAGGAAGACAAGCCTTATTTTGAGATCGAACATAAATGAGTGATTGTTCGGCTGTGCTAATGGTCATAACATTATCCGAGACAATCATTGCCCCCGATTTGATGAAAGTCATGACAGTTCGGCCGTTAAGGACACGGTGAGCGGTGTTATGTTCTTCGAGTATAAAGTAGGCATTCGGTGTCCTTTGCTTAAAATTCGTGAGCATCTTTTAGCCTCGTCCTCGCCTCGGTCATATTCGAAACCTCGGACAAGCGAACATCTGTGGTAGGAGTACCCCTTAACGACGACGAAAAATAAGCCGGCGTTAGCATTTCAAGTAACCCCAATTATTTTCAATAATCCTTCTGAGTTTAATCAACCGGTTCCATTCAGAAAGACTGCCAATGGCGGAAAGTAACACATCACAGGCTTCAGGCGTCAATTGGAATTACATAGTTTTAACAAGCGCTTGCTTTACAAACTTAGAGCAATGTCCTGATGACTGTGTTTCAACGACTTTGCAGTCCACTAAGCACTGAAGAATTTTTGTCTGATAAAGTGGAGAGTTTAGGAAGGTTCTAACTCTGGTGCCACGATATTTTGACAGTTCTTCATTCAAAAATGTGACGGGGCTGAACATGCATTGAACTTTTACGGAAACAGAATTTGCCCATTTGTATACATCAACATTTCGGATTGTAATGCCATAAGTGGAGTAGAGGTCGTTTAGGAACTCGGCAATTCCTGTCGGCTTCGTGCTTACGTCAAAAAATCCCACTAATCATCGAAGGTTTCCCAGATTGGTACTGAATATCCAGCTATTAACAGCTCTGCTAGACGCCTAAGCAAAAAGACAAATTGAAACAACAAGAGAGACATATTCGCTGTTTATAAAAAATATCTATACGACAGTTCGACCGCAGATTCCGACGATGATCACCATGTGCTCCACAACTGGTTGGGCGCAGGGACGGTACCTTGGGCATGCATTAGTTCGCAGTGATAACAGATGTGCGCTGAATCTACCGCACTCTCTCCTCTTTCAACCACCTGGGCCCGGTGTCAAAACGGAGAAGAAGAGGGCACGGGTGGTCGACAGGGCGATAAACCGCACCTAAGCGGGTGTCACCACACCAGCTCCGATCCCGTTGAGTTGGAGCACCATAGACGCCACCTTAAAAAGGAACCACTGCAGCCTGACTATCAGTCCACCAGTACACAACTGCACAGGAACACACATTGAACTGACTGCGAGCTTCGACTTATCCTGTTAGTCGAAAGCCTTCCTAGCCACGGCCTTTAGCGCGCCAATGACAGTTAAAAAGCGTGTCAGATTGCCGGAAGTTAGGAATTGATGTTGAGTCGACTACGGTCCCCCTTGCCACTTCCAGCCCCTTGTCCACTGTCCGAGTCAGTCAGTCATCTGATGCGAGTAGGGGTTTCTGTTGCTCAGAGGGCTAAAGAACCCGTCTGCGCGCTCCACACATACGATCAGTCCCTCCTCCCCACGCACACACACACGGAGTTCACACGAAAGAGGATAGACTGCTCGGATCTCACATGTAGCAGAGTAGTCACGTGGAGAAGAAGTCGAAGAGCACAAATTGGAATGTTAGATGTGTTCATGTGTGGTGATGGGAGCATGTCTGCAGTGATTTACCACAAGTTTTCATGGAGGCACATGTGACCGAGTAGGCCATGTGAGGGCTGAATATGCGAGGGCAATGCGGATAGTTGAGGCGATAGTGCCTGCTTTATGTTTGTGCTTCTGGCACTGATTCGCTAGTCTCCGTACTATAGATTCGCAAGTGATATACCCGGCCGATGCGCCACGTGCATGTGCGGCGGCAGTGTGGGCAAGGTGGGTTGGATGATGCTAAGTCGGTTCCCTTTGTGTTGCT